AATTACTGTATGCAAGAATTACTGTATGCAAGAATTACTGTATGCAAGAATTACTGTATGCAAGAATTACTGTATGCAAGAATTACTGTATGCAAGAATTACTGTATGCAAGTTTGATGTCTTCATAAGTATCTACAGATTAATTCATGATTGTATTAGGGTTAGAGGAGTTGTAGATATGCAAGCCACAACAGTTACTTAACTCTGCCAAGTTACCATGTACAGACTGATATCGTTGAGCTCGTCGCCCTAATCATGTGAGCTCCAAGGTTTGCTAAGCACCCGTGCCCGCCCCCACTTTAATTCGGGTTCGTTTTTGACTCCCCACTTTAAAGCAAGCAGCCAACCCTTGTCAATGGAAAGCTCCACCCCGTTCGCGTTCTTTGCGGTTTCCAAGAACAAGTACGCCGCCGAAACATCCTCGGGCGTGTTCAGTCCAGGACAGCAGCTCATGTATACATGCCAGCATCCTTGATGTCCTCTAGATGGTGGAGTGGATCAAACAGGTTCAATTTGTAGCCTAGTCTGCCAAGACGGGTGCCAACGTTTCCCGTTTCCCGTTTCCCGTCTTCCTGCTTGTTGCTTGGCTGATTAGGTTCTCCAAGGCACGAGCGGGTCTGCGGGGCCGTTGACGTGGCCAATCGGTACAGTTGTTTCTGGCACATTACCTTCAGGGGATCGCCGCCCCTAGAGCCCTCTGATATCGGGCTAAGGCATCGAGTTCCCGCACAACATTGGAACCACCACACCACAAAGCCAATCATAAATATTACATTACATATCGGATAATTTACACAACCACCAATTCCCAGTCGTCGATGCTACGTTTCGGGCCTTTGCATCGGCACTTTTATCTGCCGGCATCGCCTGCATAACTAACTTGTACAATAGTAAGGTATCCAAGGTTGAATTGCCCTGCAGGTGAAGAATTAAGTCCTGTGTCAATCCCCGTTACCATCTCGGATCTTCCACGCGCCGAATTATTCATATATGTGTACTCCTTTAATAATCTAGGTAGACCCCTGATAGATGTTCTTGCGTTCTCTTAGCATTCTACGTGAAGTTGTGAATTTCCCACCTTCACCTCTTAAAATCCCAACCTGTTCGCGTTTCCATGATGGGACAATATCACAACAGCAGCTTCGTCGTATACGACACCCAGCCGCTTGGCCATTGGTCTTTATGGGCGCTGACCTATTCCATTCTCGCCGTCATCCCGTTCACCCTCTTCTACCTCCTGCAAGCTTCTGGCGGGAGCAAGTTGCCTACACTCAATAGCAAGAGGGCGTTTGAGTTTTTCGATAAACGAGTGAAACGGAACTTTCGTGTCAACGGGCGGCAACTTCTCCGGGAAGGCCTTGAGAAATTCAATGGCCAGCCGTTCAGGATTTTGACAGACCACGGTCCCACCATTATCCTGCCTCCCTCGTATGCGCAGGAGATCCGCAACCTCGGAGATCTGAATCATGTCAAAGCTATCGCCAAGGTCAGCCGCGCTTCTCCCATGTAAAGCCGCCAGATTCTCGGGCTTACATTCACGTCCACAGTTTGTCCACCCCGAATATCCCGGTTTTGAAGCCTTCCACGAGTTCGCCTATGGCGACGACATTATCCAGGACGTTGTCAGGTCCAAGGTGACACAGTGTCTAGGTATGTTGCGCATTTTATAAACCCGCCATGGCCAAGCACTCTCAGTTGTGATAACTGACAGCTACCTTGCTTTTAAGGCACCATTACAAAGCCACTTTCGGAGGAGACAGCCATGACGCTTCGGGATTGTTTTACGGACGACGAGAGTAAGCTTGCCTTGGGTTGTTATCTCCTAGTAAATCTGACCAGCTAATCATGTTTCTCTCAAGAATGGCATCCGATCAGCCTCCACGAGACAGTCCTTCATGCAGTTGCTCGCGTATCCTCTCGTCTGTTCCTTGGCGACCGGCTCTGCCGAGACCCTGAATGGCTCCATATTACCACCACCTACACACATCACATAGCCAAAGCCATTTTGGAACTCAATACCTGGCCTGCTCTCCTGCGACCATTGGTGCACCGATTCCTGCGTCGTAATCGCGAATTAATTCATCAGGTCCAGGAAGCTCACAGGGTTATGGGGAAAGTCCTCGACGAGCGTCGAGCGTTGAAGGCAGCGGGACAGTCGCCCGAGTACATCGACGCTATAGAGTGGTTCGAGCAGGTCGCCAAGGGCCGCAAATACGACCCAGTCCACGTGCAGCTGACTCTATCCTTTGTCGCCATCCACACTACCGCCGACATGATCACGCAGCTGATGTTTGACCTTGCTCAGAATCCAGAGTACATCCAGCCGCTTCGCGAAGAGGTAATAGATGTACTGGGAAAACTCGGATGGAAGAAGACCTCCCTTTATAATCTCAAGTTGCTTGACAGCGTTCTCAAGGAGTCCCAGAGGCTGAGGCCAATCAATGACAGTATGAGACCTGCTTCCTCTCTTGTCCTGACCCTACCCTTAACCACAGCAACCACATTCCGGTATCGGGAACTGACAGTGTTCGGAACAGCCTCTCTCCAGCGTTTAGCCTTACGTGACGTGAAGCTCTCGGACGGAACGGTACTACCGCGCGGTTCGATATCCGCTGTCGCATCGACCCGTCACTGGGACTCGCACTACTACCCCGATCCGCACAAGTTTGACGGGTATCGGTTTCTGAAAATGCGTACCGATGGCGGCAAGGAGAACGTTGCCCAGTTTGTTTCGACGAGTCCGGATCACCTCGGGTTTGGCCACGGACAACACGCATGCCCAGGTCGCTTCTTTGCCTCGAATGAGATCAAGATCATAATGTGTCATATCTTGCTGAAGTACGACTGGAGATTAATTAAGGGGCAGGATCCTAAGGCAATGGTGCATGGGTTCATCCTTGCTGCGGACCATACCACAAAGCTCGAAATACAGAGGCGGCGGGAGGAGCTTGACATTGATAGCTTATGATACGTAGCCCTAATAAACGACAATCCTACCTAGCAAGATTTGTCGACGGGCTCTCTAGACCCCCAAAACATCTCTCGACGGCGCACCATCTTCCTGTCTGGCTGAGGGGGTTGTCTTGTTTTCAAGCTTGTTCACGCGACGGAAATGCAATCTCACACGTAATAATAGACTGAAAGTTGCGCAGAGGATTATCGCCCATGTTGCGATGACGAGTATCTCCAACTCAGCTGAATCCTAGCCACCTCCCAACGACATCATTGCTCTAGGCAGCCAGCTTTCGGATATAAATAGTAGTATTCTCGCAGAAGTTGACGGGATCTTGCGGAAAGTCCAACTGCACGTAATCTCGAACCATGTTTTCCAAACGCGGGGATATGGGATCTGCCCTGTATATTTGTTAAACCCCGGCGGCGGTGCGTTATTTATCATGCTGGCAGTGTGGGTGCGGGGGAGTGAAGGGGGCGCGGGGTAGTTCGTGTGACCACCAACACAGGACACACACCCAGCACTGACGACGTTGCCATGCTCTGGGCCGGCCCCGATGCTGTGAGCAGCTGGTCCCACTCCAGCGCCCTGATTGACACACCGCTGCCGCCCGGCGAGTACATCCTCCGGCGACTGTGAGAACGCGAACCCGAGGGCCATCAGTTTCCGATAAGAAATGAGCTTCACATTGGAATTACAGGCTATCACATGGCGATCCTATCGATGCAACATGCTACCGATTACGGCTGAGACTTCCCGATGCCCTTCAAGTCTGGCTGCCGCCACTTGCTGCACAATTCGAGACCAGTCTTCAGCGAAGCTAGCTCCGCCTTTATCTCTTGCCGAGTAGACCGCACATCATCGGACTCCCCCGCCAACTTTTCCAGCATGTCCTTATCCAACCGCACAATCTTAGCCGTCGTGAAGATTCGGGGCATCTCGCACATGAGCTGGTTCTCGACCGCCAAGATGACCATGTTCTCTGTGAAACTCCGCATCAACATCTAGCAGGATCGGAAAATATCATAGTTAGCTGAGGTTCGTGGGCTGATAGCGAGGTGTTGGAAGCCACATAATGAATAGCTTACCCCGTAGTACTCCACCATGTAATCAACAACGCGCTCGATTCCAAACTGCTGGATGCTGCTGTAACGCTGATTCATGGCCACTTGGGCAAACTCAGGGTTCTTCAGAGCCCTCATAGCTGGCTCCGGGACCTTGACAGCGGCATCGTCCAGCATTGTTTCGACTTGCCTGTCGACTAGTCGCATCGCTCGCTCGGTTATTCGCTGCTCGAAGGCATCTTCCAGAGCCAACGAGAATCCCGTTTTATTGTACCGTGGTAGCAACTCTTGCAATTTGCTCTCGAGATCGCGCTTCTTCTCCTGGAAGAACGGAGTGACGAAAGCTGCGACAATTCTATTCCGACCTTTCTCGTCGTCTCCCATGACATGGGACAGCGCTGCATTTGCAAAAGACTCGGCCGCCTCCATGACCAGGTCTATGTGGCGGGTTCCGATACTTTCCCAGGGCTTGGCCTGGCTTTCAAAGAGCTTCAGTGCCAACTTGGTGTTGTACGATCCCGGGAACTCGCGGCCAAGGAACACGGCCGCCCATTTCCGGATATCCTGTTCCAGCTCATCCTGGGTAATCGGCACTGGATCGTTGACATCGTATCGTGCCGCGAGCTTTTCCAACTCTGGGGGAACGCTCACAGAGACCCATGGCTCCTCGTCGGCCTTGTCTCGCCACTGGATAACGCGATTGGCCCCCTTTTTGTGCATGACGGCAACGAACGTCCGGTTGAGGCGGCGCACATGGGCTCGCAGGTTCTTCTGGCCCCGGTCCCCCTCAGGCTCGGTCCCGGGGCAGATGTCGCCGAAGAATTCGTCGTCCGTGTAGCTGCCCTCGACGGCCTGCTCGGCGAGCCCCGTAAACTTGCGCGCCATCTTCTCCAGGTACCCTCGCCAGTCGCTCTCGTTGCAGCGCTCCTCTCCTAGCGCACCCAGAATTCGTTCCCGGTCCTTGATGTTCTGCTCGATGTGCTTCCTGACGCGTGGGAGGCTGCGTTCGATGTGCTTGAGGAGCATGCGGCTCAGCTTGTCGCGCAGACTGGCGATACCTTTGTTCCTGGTGGGGACCGAGGCCCATGGGGCTGACTGGAACAGCTCGCTCTCGGTCTTGTCTCTGGAACTAAAGCCGCGGGCCTCGTGTTCGGCACGGTTTCGGAGGACATGCCAACCGTGCGTGAGGTAATGCGACGAGTCCCGGGTGTTTTTCAGGAGCTGCAGATAGACGGCCTCGTCCTCGCTGCCCTTGTCCAGCTTGTCCGGCTTTGTTATGATGCCGAGAGTGCGCTGCCGGTCCTTGTCGTGGCCGTCGATCTCTTCGATGACCTGCTGCATAATGGGGAGGTTATTCGCAGACACGACGGCGAGGATGATGCTGCTCTTTTGCTCCATGTACTCCTTGACAAGCCCGTTGACGACGTGGCGACCCGACAGTGGCTGGTCCTTGTCCCCGGAGTGGTAGAAGCCGGGGAGGTCCACAAGTGTCAGCTGGGGGACATCGGGACCGGACACCTTGACCCGGAGAATGCGCTTGGAAAACCGATGCCAGCCTCCGTTATCATCAAGACCCATGTGCCCGCTGGCTTGTTTGATGATGTCCTCCAAATCGGCCTTCTCAAACTGAGTGTTGTTGAACTCTTCGAGCTTCTTCTTGACGTCGTCAGGCTCCTCGGGTCGGGGCTTTATCGTCACTTGTATGGACGGCTCCCTGGATGTCCGAAGGACGAGCTCGGTAGCGAAGCGGGTGCAGAGGCCACTCTTGGACGGGAACCGAACCCGCGAGATGGCCTCGAGCACAGAGCTCTTGCCAGAGGATTGATCGCCGACGACGATGATCTGGGGGAGTTCGACATACCTGCCGATATCCTGATCTCGCAGGCTGTCTATGATGTCGAGCAGCTCCTTCTGCCTGTTCTGGATCTCCTGGAGTGCAGACGTGTCAAGCCCCACGACAACCATCTTTGCTGGTTCCTTCCGGAGTATGTAGATGGATAGAAACAAACGGCTCGGCAGATTTCTTCAGATGCAATTATCCAAGGTCAAAAGCAAATGGAACCATCACTGGAGGACCCTGAGGATCTCCCCCGAGATATAATAAATGCATAGAAGGCCTCCGGCAGGGTTAATAATTACCTAGGGACTGGCTCGAACTGTTTGCCCGAGACTTGCACTGCCAAAACTTGAAACCAACATCACAACATATCACAGCATATCACAACATGGATAACCCAGCCGAGACTCCTATTCGCTCCACTGTCCCGAAATCTTGGTAATAGGGGGCTTAGCGCTTGATAGTGTTTTAAACCTGAAGGCTGCGCTTCTTTGGGGACTGTACCTACCAATCGATTTCGAATTATAATGCAGCACAGCCTCGTAAGCGCTTGGAACCTCGCATTACAACCAAGGCAACACGCCGAGACTCCCATTGGCCCTGGGGTCCCGACATTCTGGTAACAGAGGGGGGCTGATGCTTGATAGCGTTTCAAGTCCTGCAAGCTCGGTTTTAATTGCCCTGCTCCAGAGATTTTTGCTACCGACCAATATTCCATAGAATGCAGCATAGCCCCGCGTATCTGCCCATGGGTGTTTGGCAATTCGTCATCCAATGGCGCTTAGACTACGATTAACACCTGATCTCACATGTATAGTGTCATTGTCAATTGTGGGCAGGAATCTACTTCGTCGGTCTGGAGACTCGGTCCGCCAACCCCGGGGTGCCCGAGACCCTACATGTGCCAAATAGTCACGCCTCTGTTGGACGTGTTGCCCCCTGGAGTTACTCAACCTTCCTCGGGGTCAAATGGATCTTCAATGGCCCCTTTTCCCAGAGAGTATAGAGCCTGTTATTATCCATCCAATCCTTGCTGGCCTCATCGAGCCTCAAGTCAAAGTTCCAAATAAAGCGACAGAGCAGAAGTCTCATTTCCGCATATGCGAGGCTAGCAACATTGTCAAGATTGGTAACGTTCAAACAAAGAAAGGGTGGGGGACGGCGGCTTACTTCTTTCCGATACAATTACGCGGCCCATGGGAGAATGGCTGGAAGCACTCCTTCCTATCGTTCGCAAAGCGGGGGTCCTGATCTAGCCAGCGCTCTGGCACAAACTCATTAGGTAGGGCAAAGTTCTTGGGGCTGCGGTACATTGGCCATTGCCAGATGTCGAGGATGGTCTAGCAACCAAGGGCATTAGTCGAGCCGAGGTAGACGGGCAACACAGATGGGACGGAGAGACTTACGCCTTCAGGAACGAACTGTCCGCAAATAAAGTCTCCGCCAGATTGGGTTCTCCTCGGCAATGCCCCAGCGACAGGAGGGTACATGCGCAAGGACTCTTCGATGACAGCCGTCAAGTACTTCAACCTCTGCACGCTCAACAAATCGATCTCATCCTCGGTCGAGAAAGAGGTCCGCACCTCCGCTGCCAGCCTCCTCAGAACATCGGGATGGTTGCCCAAGAAGAACACGGCGCCACTGAGCGCAGTAGCTGTTGTCTCGGATCCTGCAATAATCAAAACGCGGGAGTTCTCGTCGATTTCCTCACGAGTCAACTTCTGCTGCCCGTCCTTTTTCAGCATGGCGCTCATGAAGTCAGGCCGGGGGTCCGTCCTGGCGAGCCGCCTGTCGACCTTGGCTTTGACAAGCGCAGCATGCTCTTTTCTCTTGGAGACCGCACTCGGCTTCAGGGTGGTGATAACGGAGTCAATGTTTCCGATGAAGCGGCGCAGCGACGCCAGCATCGTCATCTGCTTGAGAGATGCAAAGATGACAGCTATCCACGGATGATAATCCGATAGCCGTAGGCAATCGAACGGCTCCCCAAAGGCAAGATCGCCAATAATGTCAAACGTGGTATAGTTGAACCATGCCGCAATATCAATAGGCCCTGCCCCCCCTTCGGAAGCCTCGTGCATACGACGGATAAAGAGATCCACATAGGAACAGATGAGGGGCTGTTGGTCGAGCATGGTCTGGGCCGAAAATCCATGCGACAAGATTCGACGAAAACGGCTATGGTTGGCCTTGTCGGAACCTATAATGCTCCCTCGGGAGCTATGGTAGAAGAGCGGGTCCTTGCCGTTCTCGCCGCTGCCGTTCTTGCGGTGGCCCATGATCTCTTTCCAGGCCTCGGGTGTGAGATACGACAATTGATCCGGGGCGATGCGAACAATGTCTCCATACTGCTCATGGAGCTCCAGGATGCGTTTGTGGGCGAGACCGGAGACGAATGCTTTATGGTAAGGGATGCGTGTCATGGCCCAAAGTCTGGGGCCTGGGTACTTCCGTAATGGGTGGAACCAGATGTTGTAGATCGGCTTGAACATGAAATAACCAAGAGTCTTTGGTGACGAGTTTGGCTTGTTAGCTTCCATTGCCTCCATCCAGGTGAAGATGCCGACATACCAAGGCGGCAATGAGGAGAGGGAGGGCCACGGCGGGACGTAGCCCAGTACGGCTCTCGTATTCCAGCATTGCGGGCATTGTTGGCAGGAGAAACGAATACAGCGCGAAGCTATTGTGCACTCGTCGGATTGTGAAGAGACGACGGATTACCCCAGTCTATATATATATATATATAGAGTCGACGCAGATGCTGCACCGGAGCTAACAGTACCGACATAATTATGTACATGCTTGGCTGGAGTCCACAGGAGGTGGTATTGTAACCCAGCCTGGGGAAGAAATCATGTCGATCACTGGCATCGAGACCCATCATATGTAATATCTTCGCGCTAAGTGGGTGGCCGTTGCATTCAGTACAAAGATTTCGGGGCAACGGTCTTGGCGTAAATATGTAACCCCCTTCTAGAAAAGCCTGCCTCCAATCAAAAATTCAACTCTGGGGCCGGAGCACTCAACTGCCGAATATTATGCAGACCCCCAACCAATCCGGGCTCGCTCGGATCGGCACGCTTCCCGCATCTTCCTCCGAATGACACCTTGTAATAGTACTGGCACAGGGCAGAGCTGGCCGGCATTTCAAAATCAAGCAGCTTCGAATCCCAGCCGCCGCACTGCTCTTGAACGAACTGCGTGTGCTGGGATCGGATCTAACCGCTCACGTTGTCGTGCTTCGTTTGTCGATACGCAAGTCGCTGATAAATAATGATCAGGGTCGATACTTGTATTTGTACATACTTATTTTATTGCACACCAATCCCTCCGTGGACCTCAACAACGCTCCCATTCATATACCGACTCCTCTCCTCAAGCAAGAACACCACCACCTCAGCAACTTCCTCGGCCGTCCCGAATCTCCTCAGGCCCACTGATTCCGCCGCGCGATCGACCGCCTCCCGGCCAGCCCGAACAGCCGAGTTCGTCGGCGTGTCGACCATCCCTGGCGCCACGACGTTCACGCGGATCCCCCTGGGTCCAACCTCGAGCGCGACGCTCTTGGAGAATCCGATGACGGCATGCTTCGTGGCGCAGTAGAGCGCCAGCTCGGGCACGGGGTGCAGGCCCGCGACGCTGGAGACGTTGACGAAGGCCGAGCCAGACTTCATGTACGGGAGGCATGCGCGGGTCGCGTTGAAGACGCCCTTGAGGTTGGTGTTGACCATCTTGTCCCATACAGCGTCGGATATTTTCTCGGTCGAGATGGCCGTCGGGTTGATGCCGGCGCAGTTGAAGACGCAGTCGATTTTGCCGAAAGCATCCATGACGGCCTTCACGAAGCTGTCCCAGTCGTCGGTCGAGCCGACATCAAGCATGAATTGGAGGTGGGAAGGTGTCGTCTCGGTTGTTGTTGATGTTGACGATGCAGCCCGACACTGGCCTACTGTCTCGCCCAATCCGGACAAGTTCATGTCTCCCAGGGCGAGGACGGCCCCCTCTGACGCAGCCTTGATGGCGGTGGCACGTCCGACGCCGCTGCTGGCGCCGGTGATGATGACTATTTTGCCGGCTAGAGACATGGTGGTGTCGTATGTCGTACGGGGGAGCCGTAGGCTATTATGTACTGGTCAGTACGACACTGGCACACACACCAAACTGGAAGCTCAAATCACTGAAGCTATAATGACAGTGAGCGGCGATACCGGAGTACCTTTTCCAGTTCGCTACCCACGCTGCCAACTTACCTGGTTGCGGAATAGGGCTGACCAATGGAAAAGTAGCCTCCAAAATCTAATTGGTGGTGCGCTTCCTCGCACGTGGATCTAATGACCAACTTCTGTGTAGAAAACCTCACGCTACAGTGGCTTAGCTTGGTAACTAAATAGTGTAGTCCAGTCAGCCAGCGTATCAGGTGCTTGCTGTTTTACCGACTGCCTCTCCCACCAGATCACGCTAAATACCCCCCAATGTCTCGTGCCTCGGCCGACCCCCTCAGACTCAGACCTTTGCGTGTGCGCTGAAGTTGTCGCCAAACGAGTTCACCCATGAGCAGACCGTATCGACCAAGGTTGGCCTGCCAGGCCTGCACGAGGAAGAAGATCAAGTGTGATAAGTTGGCCCCCTGTGGGAATTGTGTCAAACGTGGCCAGCCCGAGCTCTGCGCCCGCGAATCCCCACACGATGACCGCGATTCGGCCGTGACCCTGGCCGAGCCCATGCCTCCCCCACCCAGCAGCGACCCGCCGAGCCAGCACATGGAGCAGCTGGTACGGAGCCTGCTGGAGCGTGTCGAACAACTGGAGTCCCAGTCCCGCCAGCAACAACCGAATCAGCAGCAGTTGCAGAATGCGCGCCGCTCGCCACAGCAGCCATCCTCGGCTTTGGTGCCGGACCCTGGCAATCTGGCCGCCGAGGCCCAATACCATGCAGGGGGAGACATGGGAGGAGACATGTCCGTGTTTCTCGGCAATGGGACCTCGGGAGAGGTGGTCACTGCGGGGACGGATGCTCTCGCGCCGTGCACCCCGGCAGGGAGCTCATCAAGCCTGCGTGCGGTCCGCTCAATGCTGCGCGAGGACAATTGCTTAGCCCAATCCAAGATTCGACAGATAGCCATCGTCCAGCTGCTCCTCCCCGACAGAAACCGGGTCGAACAGCTAGTCCAATACCACACAGAGTCGCTGCTATGGTCCCATGGAGGCTACCATGTCCCCACATTCAGACATGACCTGGCCAGGTTCTACGACGTGCATCTGGGCCAGATCACTTCCGTCGGGGTTGACCTGCAATGGGTCGCTCTGCTGTTTGCTATCTTGTCCGGCGCCATCATCAGCGCGCCGTTCCCCCTCGCGCAGAGATGGGGATTCCGCAAGGATGAGCAGCACACGCTCTCCGAGAGCTGGTATGACGCCACCCTCGAATGTCTGCATCTGTCAGAGCACCTGACGCGCCACCGGCTGGACACCCTGCAGGCCATTGTCGTTCTGACCACATCTGCCTACCTGCTAGGTCGGATGCGCAGCCAGAGCGTGTTGATGGCCACGGCAATCCGCATGGCGCAGAACCTGGGTCTTGACCGGCTCGGAGAGGAGCCCGAGGGTCTTTCGGAGGGGATCGTGCCGCGCGAGAGCGGACGTCGGGCATGGTACGCCCTTCTCCGACAGGACTACTTCTTCATCCCCTTCGCCGAGAGCTATCTCGTGCGGCCCATGTTCAACCGCACCGATCCTCCCCGCAACTGCCGCGACGAGGACATGGTCTCGCTGCCGGACTCGGTGCCGACCGTCATGAGCTACTGCCGCCTCCTCGACAAGATCGCCGCTCTGATGCCGGAGCTGCACGACTCGCTTCTCTCGTGCCGCACCGTGTACGAGCGGTTCGAGGAGATCATCCGTTTCGACTCTGAGATGCGCGCCCTGGCCACGGTCCACCGCCCGCCATTCCTAGCAGACAGCCCCATCGACCCAACGTGGCCGAGGTACATCGCCTGGGCTCGTCGTGCCCTGACTATCAGCTTCGCCCACAAGGTGATCATGATCCACCGCAACATGCTGAGCAGAAGCATGACGGACCCCGTCTTCTCCTTCACGCGTAAGACGTGCGTGGCCGCCTCCAAGACGATCCTGAAGATGCTGCAGCAGTCGCAGCCGTTCGATGAGGACCGGCCGATCCTGTGGATCGAGCAAGCCTTTACCGTCACCGCCGGAGTGAGTTGCCGCAGTTTGCTAATCACATATCAAGATCCCCCTCTTTTCCTTTTCATCCATTGCAGACTCGTTATTAACTCCTGACAGGTCATTCTGTGCTTCGACATGCTCTACCGCTCCCCCCTCGACACCGACCCTTCCCCCACGCACCGCTCCCTCATCCAGGACGCCATCACAAACCTCAAGCAGGTAGACCAGTGCATCATCGCCCGCAAAGGCGTCCGCCTCCTCACGGCGCTGCTGCAGGAATGCACGGCCTGGCCACCGCGCAACAAGCGCACTCACGATGAGATGAGCGCCGAGGCGGCCTGGCACGACAACACGATGCAGGTTCTCGATGTCGAGACCTTCATCCAGGGGTTCTGGAAGCGGAAGGGCGACTTGGTGGCCAGCTCGGTCAGCCCGCCGGGGCAGATTCCGATGCCTCAGACGCCGCAGCTGATGCAGGGCACCCTGTACGAGAAGGAGCTGGACTGGTTGGGGGATTACTGGCTGTACGGGGCGTTTCAGGAGCAGCAGGTCCCCGCGCCGAACGGGTCTGAGCAGGTGCCTTCGTTTGAGGACCTGTTATTTAGGGCGGAGGACTTTAGTTTTTGACTATGAATGAGTGTTTGGGGGCGTTCAGTATTTCGTTCAGGTCTCTAAATAATGGTATAACCCCCATCGACCACATACGCTGCCCCCTGGACAAAAGTAGCCCGACTGCTGCACAGAAATAAGACAACGTCTGCAACTTCCTGCACCGTCCCCGGCCGCTCCAATGGAGCCCGTAAAATGGCGGGTTTGTACAGCTCGAGCTGCCTATCCAGCATCGGAGTGTGAGTGAGGCCAGGACAAACGGCATTGATCCGGATGTTGTCGCGCGAGTACTGAAAAGGGGTGAAATGAAATCAGTCACACGGCCGATCATTGTCAACAACCCAAGATAATTGATCGAGGGTCACTCACATCTATTGCATCACACCTAGTAAGAGCAAGCACGGCGGATTTCGACGCACAATACGCCGCTAGACCCAGAGCATTTCAGCTTCCAAACCCGATAAAAACTGTTGGGAGGTTTGCTGTGGGTAGTAAGACTTACCCGCTTCTGGCCGCCCAACAAGCGCGAGCTGACTCGCAATGTTTACAACGGAACCGCGGTTCCCCAGCCTCCCGTCATGGGTGGCCAGGGGTTCTTGCTTGCGCATTTGGATGATCTCGGATCTCGAGGACAGCCAACAGCCACGGTAGTTGACGCTGTTGACGTGGTCGAAGGCCTTGGAGGTAGACTCTGCGGAGCCGAGGTTGTCTCCTTCCACGCCTAGTGGTGGGTGTCAGACAACGGACTTCCCCCCAGTGTGATGTGGCCACCACCAAGTGTCACTGACTACTCACCTGCCACATTTACCGCGTAGTCTATGCGCTGGAACTCTGCCACCGCAGTGGCCATCATTTTTTCCACAGCCTGCTCGTCTCTCAAGTCTACCCCGACCACGAGAACGTCGGCTTCGGGCGAGATCTCGGCAATGAGCGCCTTGGTCTCCTCGAGCCCAGCAACGTTGAAGTCACAGATGGCAATTTTGCGGCATCCATCCTTGGCAAACGCAAGCGCGACACCGCGGCCGATTCCTGGATATCAATTAGGATCATGCTTTCAGGTAGGGAAATGAGGGCCGAGGTGAGGGAATGAGCTCACCAGAAGCCGCCCCTGTCAGGAGAGCAACGCCAGGGAAGTAGAGAGACATTTCCGATTGGGGTTAGTTTGTGTCCTACTGTATCATGATCTGAATCACCAACCACAATGGAATCGACTACACCAGGAAGAAAATCAGCAGGGTTTAATGGCAAAGACCAAGTGTTCTGTTTTCTCGGCCTTGACCCCGTTCCCCTTGTTATCGCCCTAGGCGAAAGGACCCACATCCCGGCCGAGGGTCGGACGAACTGATTACTTCCTGACTGATAGCCCGGCTGGCATGGTAGTAGGTTCTACCCCATACTAGTGATAACGCTAAACACTTGCTAGATCGGGGGCTATGACAAAGAAGACAGGCTATTCAATAGTGCCATTCCGACAAGGTTTCCCCATACTACCAGAGATAACGAGGGGAGGGCCGAGACGTTGATTGATGGATGGGTCGATTTGTTTAAAACTCGACGTTGACGACACTGCAACATAACGTTTGGCAAGCTAGTCTGGTCTGCTGCATCTTCATCCGCATGCAACAACAGCAACGTGACTTGGCAATGCAGAACACGGAGAATCCATCAACCATCATGGACCGCGTGTGGGAACGAGCCAACGCAATTTCCACAAAGGTCCAGACGAGGTTGACGCAGCCTTCGAGCTGGATCTTGCCTCGTGAGGAGAGCAGCATCGCGCCGCCAGGCGTCTGGACCAATGCTGGTATGCCAAATTGCCTGCTGCAGCCACTTGCTCAAGTGCGTGCTTTTTCCAACAACTTCTAACTCGTTCACTTTTCCAACAGACTACGACCCTGTCGAACCCGAACGCCGCATCTGGACATCGACTACCATCGCGACGTACTGGTTCTCCGACCTGGTCTCCATCGTCGGATGGTCCCAGGCGGCAGCCATGTACAATGTCGGCCTCAGCGCGACTGACTGCACCCTGGCATGCATGGTGGCCGGCCTCTGCATTTCTCTCCCGACTGGTAAGAGCGCTCTGGGGGGGGTGCTGCAAGCACCTTTCTACTCTTCTTCTACTCCTAGACTAACAGTTTCCGCCCGCAGTGCTAAGCTCGAGGATTGGCGCCACCATGCACATCCCCTTCCCCGTGGCAATCCGAGCCAGCTTCGGCACGTACCTGCAATACTTCTGCGTCCTTTCAAGAGCCATTCTGGCCATGTTCTGGTTCGGCATCCACAGCGTCTATGGGAGCGACTGCGTGACTACTGTACGGGAAAGGCACCCACCGCGGAGTCATAATTAATTATGGCGAACCTGCCTCGTCAGAGACTTGGGAGGATCGACTGACACTGTGCAGGTCATTACATGCATCTGGCCGAGCTATGCTCACCTGGCCAACTACCTTCCCGCGTCGGCCCGCATCACCACCAAGGGAATGTGCTCCTATGTCATCTTCCACGCCGTGCAGTTCCCGTTCCTCTTCGTCCCGCCGCACAAGCTCAAGTATCTGTTCCGCGTCAAGGTCGTCCTTCTGCCCCCCGTCGTCATCGGCATGGCCATCTACCTCGCAGTCAAGGCCCACGGTGGCAACGAGTTCTTCTACCAGCCGGCGCGCATCCATGGCTCCGCGCGGGCCTGGAGGTGGCTCTCCGGCATGACCTCGGTCACGGGCGGCTGCTCGACGCTGGCCCTCAACATCTCGGACTGGTCGCGCTTCGCCAAGTCGCCGCGCAGCCAGTGGTGGCAGCTCCTGCTGATCCCGCTGTTCCTGACCACCATGGGCATCTGCGGCATTGTCGGCGCCAGCGCCTCGGTCAAGCTGTACGGCGAGGCCCTGTGGAACCCGCTCGACATCATCGACCTGTGGATCAACACGCCCGGCGGGAGAGCGGCGGGCTTCTTCTGCAGCTTCATGTGGCTGTTGGCCCAGGTGTCGATCAACCTGAGCACGAACTCGGTGGCCTACGCAACGGGTGAGCTCCTTGCTTGAGTCCCACGTTAACAGGGCAGCAATGCTAATCAGCGGAAAATTCCGATTCAATGCAGATATCGGATCCACCCTTCCCAAGTTCCTCAACATCCGCCGGGCCAGCATCCTCGGCTTTCTGCTCGGTGGCTGGGCCCTGTGTCCCTGGATTATCCTCGAGTCTGCAGAGACTTTCCTCAACTTCATGTCCGCGTATGCCATCTTCATGGCGCCCATGACAGGTGTCTTGATCTGCGACTTCTTCGTCATCCACCGCATGCGCTACGACGTGCCGGCGTTATATGATCCCAAGGGAATCTATTTCTACAAGGTCTGTCTCTGCCCCATGATTACTCTCCCCCCCTCCTTCCCACGGACTTTCCACTGACGTACATCCCCAGTACGGGACCAACTGGCGAGCCCTCGCCACCCTCCTCATCACGGCGGTGCCTCTTCTCCCCGCCATCGGCTACGCAGTCAACCCCGAAAAGGTACACGTCAGTGAGGGCCTAAAGCACTTGTACTCCATTAACTGGCTGTACTGCTTCCTTCTCTCCTTCAGCCTCTACTTTGTTCTCAGCAAGCTATTTCCGCCCAAGGCGACCATCATCCCCGCCATGGTCTTTGGCCTTCCTGCCGAAGCTGCTGATTCTGTTGCTGACGAGAAGGATGGCAAGGAGACTGACAGCACCGAGGTGAAGGCTGTTGATGTCTAGTTAATAGTCAGGGCTTGGTTTGGGAGTGGAATTGCGATCAACGTCCGGACGTATTGGGTATAATGTTTTTGTTGGATTTGTGCTGGAATTACGTGTGCACGCAAGGGGGGGCTAGCTAGTTCGGGAGAAGAAGCGCGGCAAGACATGTCTGAGCGACAAGCAGTCTTACTGTCCCTACTGGCTATATTTTCACTTCTATACTAACAAATTGGAGGACTTGCCCATTCTGTGCGCAAGCAGATCTTCGCATTGGTTCGTGTGAAATGTCCCCATTCTTGAAGGAGATGCAGCCTCCCTCTTCTTGCAGCCCTGTCAGATGCGGAGGTCGCTGTTGGGCCTTGGGGCGCCGTGAGTTTGTCCTCGGCCGAAGCCCCAATTCACGTTTGCCACCGTAATCCCCCCGCCCGCCCCCACGTCTCTCCCATATCACTTCATTCAACTACACTCACTACCTCCGGATTGTGTCAATTGTGTTCATACAAGGCCGCTCCTCATCTGTCCATCCGCCCTAGTTGAGCCCAAAGATAGAAACATCGACTCATTGGAGTCTATCTATTCGAATGTGTTCCTGTCTATCTCTATTCTAGCATGCAAGCATCCTTGACGTAGTTGGCACAGCCGGACATGATATTTACAGCCACAGATCTCTCTCGTTGTCCATCATGCCCCTTGGCAGCCCACCGGTCTGACCCGTAACATTGCTCCCCTTCTTCCTCTTCAGAAACATTCCGTCCCCCTTCTTGCCCACCACTCCACCATGGTCGCGATTCCAGACTATCTGCCCTCGCAAGACTGTATACCTCGGCCAGTTACCAACCCACATGCCTTCATACGGCGTGTAATCACAGTCGTGATGGATCATGCGAGCCCGGATCCGTAGCCCATCCACATCTCCCTCGTCCCTGTCCTCCCTGGCAAACTGGTGACCCCCCGGATACCACACCACAAAATCGGCATCGTACCCGGGCGCGATATTCCCCTTCACCCCGCCCAGACCATACAGCACGGCCGGCCTCGTGGCCGTGACCTGCACGAACCGCGGCAGCGAGATCTTTGGCTTCGAGCCCGTAGCATGGCTGAACATTAGCGGCATGCGCGTCTCGATCCCCGGCAGTCCGTTTGGGATGTCCCTGAAGACGGGCAGGCCGTCCTTCAAGCCGCGCGTCTTGCCGTAGGGGCTGTCGAACTTTGTCGGGGCGTGGTCCGACGACAGCGTGGTGAAGGTGCCGTTGGCGACGCCGCGCCAGATGGCCGCGACGTCTCGCGGCTCGTGGCGCAGCGGCGGCGAGCAGACGGCGCCGGCGCCGTGGGAGTGAGGGGCCTGCATGCGCTCGGACAGCAGCAGCAGGTAGTGCGGGCAGGTCTCGCCGTGCACGGGCAGCATGCGCGTCTGGGCGGCGCGGATGTGGTCCATGGCGAGCTCCGAGGAGACGTGCACGATCAGCACGGGCACGTCTAGCAGTTCGGCTAGCGAGATGGCTCGGTACGTGGCCTCGGCCTCGGCGAGCTGCGGGCGCGACACAGCGTGGTAAAACGGGTCGGTGAGCCCGCGCTCTTCGAGGCGTTCGGTAATGAGGGCGATCATGTCGCTGTTCTCGGCATGGATCATGGTGGTGATGCCCAGCTGCCGGGCGGCCATCATGATGTCCAGGATTGCGCGGTCGCCCAGCTTGAGGGGCTCGTACGTCATGTACAGTTTGACACTGGTGATGCCCTCCCTCTCGACCAGGACGCGCAACTCGTTGTTGACGATGTGCGGCGTCGGGTTGGTCAGGATGAAGTGGAAGCCGTAGTCGCAGTGGCTCTGGTCGCGGGACTTGCCGTGGTAGTCCTCCAGAGCCGGGAACAGGGACTCATCCTTGCGGCTTTGCGAGGCGAAGGCTAGGACTGTGGTGGTTCCTCCGGCCACTGCGCCTCTTGTCCCGGTCTCCCAGTTGTCGCCGTCGGGACTCTCGGGTTGGGCAAGGTGAACATGAGAGTCGACTCCTCCAGGCGTGACATAGGCGCCTTCCGCGTCCAGCACCCGTGTTTGTGGCCGACGTGGCAAGCAATGGCCCATGCAGACGATCTTGCCATCCTTGACCCCTATTTCGATCTTGGGGTCCAGGACCTCGGCAGCGGTGACCTATCCTCACGTGTTAGAGGCAAGATTCCACACAGATTCTTCGCAACAAGACAGGCTTACAATGGTCCCATTGGTCAGGATCAAATCAAGCTCCATGCTGCGTGCAATTGGATCGTGCCGTGGTAGGAGCTTGCCGGGTTGCGATAAGTGTTAGGTTACTGTACTCTGCCAAGATCATGAGGGAAATAAGTCGACAGAATAGGCATATTTCCAGAATAACATGTGTCGGTATAAGCTTATCTATTTCCCCAGCCATGCTAACATATCCCTCTCGTCACGCCCTTACCAAGTGGGTTACCAATCTCCCTCAACTTCGGACCGGTGCGGGGCCGTGGACCCGCAGGCCAAGACCGCTTCGGCCGGCTCGGCCGACTTGCCCCTGAACAAGGGTTACAAGCCTAGAATTGACATCCAACAGCCATCTTCATCGTATAGATATATCAGTAAATAGATAGAAGAGAGGTCAATTTATTTTTCTCGACACAGCTTTTCCAGCCCCTAAGTTACAGAGCGCATCACTCTCTTTCACACGTCAATCCAACCAACACAATGTCCAAGTCCGCTGTCCTTACCAAGAACGCACCCCCGCCTCTCGCAGGCATCCTTTCCCAGGCCATCATCGCCAACGGCATGGTCTACTGCTCTGGTGCCACCGGCGTTGACCCTGTCACGCGGCAGCTGGTCGAGGGTGACGTCAAGGCCCGGACAGTGAGTTGCAGTTCTCAGCGCATTGATGAGATCCTCTCTGCTCACAGGAGAATATAGCATCAATGCATCAAGAATCTGAAGGCCGTCCTAGAGGGGGCCAGATCGAGCATCGACAAGGTGGTCAAGGTCAACGTCTACCTGGCCGACATGGGTGACTTTGCCGAGATGAACTCGGTCTACTCGCAGTACTGGGGTGATGTTAAGCCGTCGCGGACGTAAGTTGCACGGTGCTGTGCTGCCGTCTAATAAATTGGATAGATGCTGACTGGGACATAGATGTGTTGCGGTCAAGACGCTGCCTCTCAACACCGACGTTGAGATTGAGTGCATAGCGGTGTTGTAATTAGATGCTGCTATGGCGAGACCTTGTATGTGAAGATGCCACCAAGTTAGCACTTTAACAAGGGTAATTAATAAATAGGAACATTTGTTCCACCAATGTTACAACCTCTTGTTTACCCATGTTATCGTGTTTCGTAACCTTACGACAAAAGTTAGACAGCAACAGCCACTAAACGCGGAAGCAGAAAAAGTGCCAGTATTCAAGGTAGACATCAAAGTAGAAAGTAATTAAATTCTCAACAGTCGAAGGGGAAACGAATCATGGTCTATCTCCCGAGTCAGAAATGGAACTAGCGAGCCCTTTACTATGCAACCAATTGCCGTCAAATATGATAAAACACCTACACTATCGGGTGGCGGGATTGTGATTTACCACAACCCCGAGTCGGTGGACTGAGGCGGTGAGAAGGCATTATGAACATGGTTCTTGGGAGCGCATCATTCCAATTTCTATGTAATTATAGCTTCACTTCCCTGCATGCCTGTCGACTGTTTTACAGCCACAAAAAAGAAAAGTCCATGATTTACTAATAAAGAACGAATATGGACCGAAACGAAATAATATTCGCCAATAGCATTCGTTCTATAACTAAGACGAAAGCAACTTGGGCTCAACAATTCCCTTCTGGGCAGTAATCATGCCGTATGCCTGGGGTTGGCGGTTGACAGCAAAGTTGAAGATCTGGTGGCGTCAGCTTGGGGGTTCGATATCACGGCTCTACACACAACACAACTTACATCCTTCTTCCCCTTCTGACACTCCTCCAGGTCAATCTCCGCAAAGACAACCTCATCGTCCGTCGTCTTCGCCTCGGCAATGATATGCCCGTCCGAGTCGACGATGCTGCTGCCACCGATCAAGTCGAACTTGCCGTCGTCCATCCCGCACCGCCCCGACGAGATAGAGAAGCAGCTGTTGGCGTAGGAGTTGTACTGCATCACCAGCCGGTGGTGGTGCAGCGCCTCCTCCCGCGCCTCCTCGAGCGAGATGGGCTTGCCGGGCTTGTAGATGTCGTCGGCCTTGCCGTTGGTGTTGAACCCGACAAGCACCAGCTCCGCTCCCTGGAGCCCATACGGCCGCCAGGACTCGGGCCACCGGCGGTCGTTGCAGATCAGAGCGCCGATGATGGGGTCGCCCTTCCCCTGCGTGTCCGTCTCCGTCGTGCCCTCCTTCAGGGTGTCCGGGATCAGGCCGGGCACGCGGAAGGCCGGGAAACCCAGGTCGCCGGTCTCAAAGTACCGCTTCTCCAGGTGCACCTCGGCGCCGGGGAAGGGCGGGTCAACAAAGCCCGGGACGTGGGTCTTGCGGTACTTGTTGAGCACCTCGCCCGACCGGCCAGAGTAGTACACGGCCGTGTTGAAGTGCCGGCCCTCGGGCGTGCGCTCGCCGTAGCCGACCCAGATGTCAACGCCCAGCTCGCGTGCCCGGTCGAACAGCGGCTTGACGTTCTTGGACTCGGCGATGGAGCTGCCGCCGGCGTCGTCCTCGAAGTACGACTCCATCTCCTCCTGGTCCTCGAACAGGTAGCGAGGGAAGAAGGTGGTGAATGCGGTTTCCGGGAACACGATGATCTGGGCCCCCATGGAAGCGGCAGAGTCCAGCAGGCGGAGCATCCGCTGCATAGTCTCCGATCGAGGGGTGGTCCGGTGGACCGCGCCGATTTGGGCGGCGGCAACCTTGATGAGACGCGGCATTCTGATGTGTGAGAAAAAGAGAGAGCGAAAGATGATTAGATCGTGTACCAAAGATTGCTGTCACGGTAGTCAAGACTCGTGCCGATTTCCACAATTACCACGCCCGATTAGCTTGCTGCTCCCCTATATGATTAAGAATCATTGAGGATCGTTATATTCTCCGTGTGGGTAGAACCCGGCCGATAACGGCCTTTGACATCAGGCCGGCCGGCCGATAAGATATCTGCGGGGTTGATTGATGGGTGTGCCATCCCGCTCATTCACGGCTCGTCCGAACCGTCGTAGGGGTGTTACTCCTTGCGAACTCGGCCGTTGCATGTTTCGTATCTTCCTGTAGGTGCCCGGGGCTTGTCGGAGGTCGTTAACGGGTGGTCTGGGGGTTTCCATCTGTTCGGCCGAGTCCACCTGCCCCGGAATTCCATACCCACCGCATGTGGGCCCTTTAACGACGCTAAACTTTCGCTCGTGCGGTATTCGGGCTCTTGCTCGGGGAATGGCCATCGGAGACGGAGCCCCCCATCGCTGCAAACACGTCTAGGTTATAATTATCCTGATGCTGCGGGGTGTCCTTTGTCCGAGATGGCTTAAAGCTGAAGATCGAGCTCGAGTTCATGGCACGCTACGGCAAGCCTCACGTAGGAAATTACTCACCAGTACAAGGACGAGCGGGATGCGAAATGTCTGTATCTTCTCAAATACGGCCTAAGTACTGGGACATGGGCGGACGGTAAGGAGGACGCTAAGGCATTGGTTACAACGACGCGGAGAGAGTTAGTTACCATTTCAGAAGAGGTCAGCTTATGCTCTCCGTATTAGCTCTTATTAACTTGTCGTCACACATCTCCCTAGCGCTGCATCCTTTCTCATTGGTACCTTGACGGCCGCTTCAATGGCAAGAGGGTGCTCTTGATCCCGATTACAGACCAGGATGAGTTGCTGAAGGAATACCTCGTCCTCGGAGCCGGCCTCGCATCCCAGGATCTAATTACGGGGTTCTCCCAAGTCAAAGAGGATTTTGGGCTCGGGAAAAAGGGGCTAATCGACCTCAACCCTGGAAACCCCCACGCTACTCGGCCGAGCCCTCCCAACCCCGCTCACAAGCTTTCAGCTAATTAACTAGTGGACGTAGTGTAATGATGGGGAACCTGGAAGGTTCGGCGAGAAGATGGCAAAACCAAATTCTATTTTGGCGATAGTGTTGCTTATAAGTGGGGAGATAGGCAAGACCTGCAGGTGAGCAAAAGCTCCTAGATTAAAGGCGGGGGATCTAGAGCCTACCAGTGGTCCACTACCTCGCAAATAGTGTAAGACTGTTACCTAACATTGGCCCACAGACTTCTCTACTATGGGACGCCCCAGCAAGGACGATGAAATGCGGTAGTCAGTCAAACGACATGGGCCATGAGAGGGGATGGCAGTCGGCAAATATTGCCCTCTCCCCACTTCCCCACGCTCATATCTATGGTTCTGGGGTCATTTCCCCAGACGCCCCAACTCTTCAAATGCAATGACCCGACTGGGCAGAGGCGGTTATGAGTTGACGATGGATCGCAGTGGTCCCGCAGGAAAAGTGAAGACGAGACGACCCCTCAAACAGTCAGAAGGCAGCGCGCTGCCTACTAAGATCAGACCCGAAGACATTTGTTTGGCCGATACTGTGAAGCGAGATGGCGAACGAGATGCAAACGCGGATGATGCTACGCGAAGCAGCCAAGCATGACCAGATACTGAAGAACTCCCTCCCGATCTCCATCCCCTTACCGGGGCATCATTCGAGCTGTACACTCCCTGCCGGAAGAGCTGTTAGACTCGACCCCGAAAGCCGGACCAGCCCCGACGGAGGAAAACGGTCATCTCTAGCAGAGTGCAAGCTGCTCTCATCGCCCCCTGAGATGACCAAGACGGCAATCACACACCACCTCCGGAACGCGGAAACCAAGCGGATGTGGCCCCAGGGGACCACGCAAGATGTCCCGGACACGGCACTGCCCCATGTCGCCGAGGCCATCATGGTCTTCGAACGGGGCGACGAGCACGATGAGCGCGGCGCCTGCAACCGGTGCAGACGTGGCGAGGGGACATCAAAGGAGTGCGTGACCATCTCGGATGTGCCGTGGGCCTGTAGTAACTGCATCTACGATCGATGCAGCGAGGCTTGCGAACTCAGCTGCCGGAGACCGTCTGTAGCCAAGGAGGATGAACGAGGGGAGGGGGGCGAGGATGAGGAGGTTGGAGACGATGAGGGTAACGTCGACTTCTGGGGAAAGACGGACGAGATCGCAGATCGCCATTTTGTTCTGTCCCTGGTGAAGCAGCTTAGGCAACGAGCGGGCTACGGGGAGGAAGAGAGCCCGGTAGAACGGGCGAGGCAGATTGAGAGAGCAGCATTGAGAGTATCTCAGCTCGCGAGGGTGTTCAGCGAGGAGATGCAGCGGTCGGATGGATCGCTGGTGGTGCCTTCAGTTGTCAACCGCATGCTGAGCTAGAGGTTCTAGTTTAGGCACATATATCTATTGATCGAGGGAGACGGATGTAACTAAGAGTAAAACGAGAACAACTCGCTGCTCTGCACACAGCTTTCGCATAATTACCCCACATGACAATTTACCTTGGCGGACTACGGAGCTTTGTTGCCGGGTTGGGCAACGGGAAGGAGGTGATCGAGTCCTGCGGGGAGAATGGATGCATCCGCCAATCCAGTGTCGTCGTTATCTCAGATATATCAGCCTATCAACAGGATGCTTTTCAGGCTGGGCCTTGCCAGTGCTCTCTGACCATGATAATCCGTCGAGGCTAGAAGTGTAGACGTCGAACATAGAGATGCCACAGACCCAGCCGCCCCAGTGTCTTGCATATCAGCGGCAGCTAGACCGACAACGATGGGAAGTACACTAAATTACTTCACCTGCTGTGAGTGCCCCGGTTGAGCCAACCTTGAGGCCCGCAGAGACGCAGCGATCTTCCGAAGACAGCTTCTCATCAGTGATAATACCCCCCACACTTTCCTAGTGCGTGCCCAAATTGGGGAGTCTTAACAGCATTCACAGCCAAGTCAGACGACTCATGAAGTTTCAATTTGTAATTGGTGACATTATTAGCGGAATACGAGAAATGGCACTGATCTTAGCGCAGCATGTCGCCCCTTTCCCAAACCCCCAACTGCTCCTAATGCTCCCCCACCCGCCCATCGTCCCCCCACTCTGCCCCCCAGTTGTGCAAACCAACCTTCCGCACGGTGTGAACCCTAGGCTGTGACCTACAGGCTAGGTAGGTGCCTCTATTATACATGCGGACGCCCTCGGCCGACGCCACCGGCCGACACGGCGCCATCATCAACGGTCGCATCGCTAGTATCCTTCCAGGTTGCATCAACGTTCGTTCAGTAGTGCCCAGTCTTTCCATGATGTGGGTTCGCCAGCAAGGAGTCAGCGAAGGGAGGTACATGCTTTCACGACTCAGGATTCCTACCCTCAGGGGCACCGCCATCGGAGAGTTGAAAGTCATGTACGTAGAGCTGGAAGGCCATAAGAAGAAGGAGGATGGGGAGATGCTAATCAATAGCTCGAGACCCTAGAAGCTGAGATGTTTAAGGTCCTCATCTAGTTAGTAGAATTGACATAGAACCACGCCTACGCTCCCTCGTCTCCCATCATGTTAGGTAAGATCAGCCTGCCCAAGCACTTCTAATCTGCCATTATCACTCACAGGTAGTAAATGCAGCCAAACATCTTTCCAACAACCCTACCACCCTTGTTCATGCGGCCCTCGGCTCCCTCCCCGTGATCAACCCGGCAGTCGGCTTTGACGCTACCAACAAAACAATCTATCTCCACGATGCCTGCTCGGAGTCCAACGTCGCCGTCATCTCGGGCGGCGGCTCTGGCCATGAGCCGTCCTTTGCCGGCTTCGTCGGTAAGGGGATGCTCTCGGGCGCCGTGGCAGGGTCCATCTTCGCCTCCCCGACCGCGGATCAGGTGTTCCGGTGTCTGATGCGGCTGGGCGCGGAGAATCCGCAGCGCGGCATCCTGGTAATCATCATGAACTACACCGGCGACAAGCTCCACTTCGGCATGGCGGTCGAGAAGGCCCGCGCCCAGGGCCTGAAGGTCGCCATGGTGATTGTGGGCGACGACGTTGGTGTCGGCAGGCTCAGGGGTGGGCGGATCGGTCGGCGAGGCTTGGCTGGAACCGTGTTGGTCCAGAAGATTGCTGGCGCACTCGCTGCCAAGGGGTAATTGACCAACAAACGTCATTCCACAATTCGCAAATGCGTCCGTTCAACTGGCTGACCCAGGCGTGTCTCTCTCCCGCCCTTATTAGTGCCGACCTCGCCGAAGTCACCAAGATTGCCTCAGCTGTTGCCGACAACATCGCCACGGTTGGTGCCTCGCTGGCCCACGTCCACGTTCCCGGCCGTGCTGCTGCCGAGGACGAGCTGGACGGCAACGACGAGATCGAGATCGGCATGGGCATCCACAACGAAGAAGGCTTCTCTCGCGTGCGCCAAGACCTGCCGGGTCTTGTGCAGGCACTGCTCAAGCAGCTGCTAGACACGACCGACAAAGACCGCGCCTTTATCGATATTCGAGCCGGCGAGAGGGTTGTGCTCATGGTCAATAACCTTGGCGGCCTAAGCCAGCTCGAGCTCGGGGCCGTAACCATGGAGGTGTCCCAGCAGCTCGGGCAGAGATACCACATAATTCCAAGGAGAGTGCTGAGCGCCACTTACATGAGCAGCCTCAACGGGCTGGGCTTCAGCATCACTCTGCTCAAGATTGTTGACGACAGGTTTTCCGAGCTCCTGGATGCCCCTACTGAGGCCACCGGCTGGCTTCCTCCAGCACCAGCGGCGAACTGGGACAGAGCAGGCCAGGCGGGCGACGACAGCAGCACCAGCACCATTACCGAGCACCTCGAGGAGAGTCCAAGCAACCTTCTACGTAAGCCTACTAAATTCCATTTGTCCCCCCGCAACGCATCCCAACCCCAAAAAAGGGTCTTGACAATCGAGCGTTCGGACGTCTGACGAATGCTGCGCCGTTTCAGTGAACCCCGCCCTCACGCAGGCCATACTTACGAAGGCTCTCAACAACGTAATAGCAGCCGAGCCCGAGGTGACCAAGTACGACACTCTCGTCGGCGACGGCGACTGCGGCCTCTGCCTGAAGGGCGGGGCGGAGGCCGTGCTGGCGCACATACAGTCCAACGCCGGCGTCCTCGGAGATGCCGCGCAGCTGGTAGCGGCCATTGCGCGCGTAGTCGAGACGAGCATGGACGGCACGTCGGGCGCGCTGTACGCCATCTTCCTCAACGCCCTTGCCCACTCGCTGCAGCGGCAGGCCAGGCCTGCGCCGCGCCCCGCGTCGGCGGCTGTGTGGGGGGCTGCTCTGGGCGGCGCCATGGAGGCGCTTTCTCGGTACACGCCGGCGCGGCCTGGTGACAGGACAGTCGTCGACGCGCTGGCCCCATTCGTTGAGGTGTTTGCAGCGAGCGGCGATCTGGCCATGGCGGTCGATGCGGCGCAAAAGGGGTGCGAGAGCACGAAGGGCATGCAGGCTAGCTTGGGTAGGTCGGTGTATGTAGGCGGGGAGGAGTGGAAGAACTGCCCTGATCCTGGTGCATACGGCTTACTGCTGGCCCTCAGGGGGTTCGTCGAGTAGCCATGTGTGTAATTCGGTGTCAAGAGGATATATGGCTAAACTTACTTATTTGGGCTATTGATTACCTCTTTCAGACAGAGAGAGAGATGGAACTTCCGACACCCATAACATATATTCGTACGACGCAACTATACAATGTGGACGCGGCTTAACCCCTATAATCTCTGCTCCTCCTTGACCAACTCAGCAAATGCATCTTCCTGTGCCTTCAACTTCGGGCCTTCAAGTAGTGCTATCGGCCTCCGCGCCTCGCCACCGTAACCATAGTACTTCCGGAGCGCCACCTTCACGGATGGAAACCCGCCCTTGATGGCGACCCAGTCACCCCTCGCCACCACATATTGCAGCTCCCTTGCCTGTTCGTGCTTGCCCACCGTATACAGCCGCTGCAGCTCGACGCAGGCCTTGGGAACGACATTAGCCAGTCCGGCAATGACGCCGTGTCCCCCCACAGCGAGCGTCTGGACCAAAAAGTCCGCGCTGCCACCGAAGGTGCGAAACCCGGTATTACCACGCGTGCCTCCGACAACGCGCGCTAGCTTGCCCGTGTTGCCGCATGTCAGCTTGACTCCGCAGATGTTGGGATGCTGCGCCAGCTCCAGAATAGTGTCGGAGCTGAGGTCCAGCCCGCTGCACGCGCCAGGGAAGTTGTAGATGAGCACGGGCAGCGGCGAGGCGTCCGCCACGGCGCGGAAATGCTCGGCGACCAGCTCCTCCGACAGAAGGCTGCCGTAGTAGGCAGGAGGCAGCACCAGGACGTGCGAGCCGCCGGCCTGTGCTGCCTCGGTGCAGAGCTGGATCGTCTCTCGGGTGCTCTGAGCGCCGCAGCCCACAATGAGGGGCAGGTCGGGAAAGCCACCTTCGTCCAGCGCCGTACGGGTCAGCTTCGTGATCTGGGCCCTCTCGGCATGGTCGAGGTGCACAGCCTCGCCGTTGGAACCGTGTGTTACAAGGCCGGCGACTCCAGCGCGGGCGACACGCACGGCATGCTGCTTAGTTGTGGGCTCGTCTATCGTGTCTTGAGGGGTAAAGAAGGCCACAGTGGGGACGTACACGCCCGACTTCAAGGTTCTTGGTGACGAAGCTTGGGCAGAGCAGCCGTTGTTGCTGCCGTTCGCGGAGGGGGCCATGATGGGAGAGGACCACACGTGTAATGGAGGGACACAAAAACGTGAACAAACTGAGGAGGGAAAGGAAAAGAACTCACGAGAAACAAACACTACGCAAGTGCACTATATAGTAGGTATATACGGTGGGGGGCACGTGACGGTACGAGGACGAAAGGGGAGGGAGCCGGCAGGTTGGGTCGTTCGGCCGGCCGATTAACCCCCCCAGAGGTCGAATAAGTACTTTCCAAACAGCGAGGCAAGCTCAGGACCGTGTGTTACTTGATTATTAGACGGTGTAGCTTGCTAGGGACCCCCACCCTATCCTCTAATACAATTATGGTTAGCTTCCTGTCAACGTAGGCTGTTTTCCCTTCTCTGTTCCTTTTCTAACTGCGTACTAATCAAATTCCTCTTTTCTTTTATTCAGGCAAGGGGTTGGTGCTGGGCATAGGTTCTCGGGCTGCCCAATCGTAACGACAGGTGGCATGATTTAGCAGATGTCGCTGTCGCTGTGGCCGACGCTGTCGCTCCATCTGCCAAAAAAATTGCGGCGGCCTGGAAGCCCTGCCTGCAGAGGCTCATTCCCTCCCTCATTCATCTTTCCATTCTACGTGAGCGACACTCCCGCCTTCCCCTGTGGAGCTGCAACTCTTCTCCCTCTTTGTCTTCCCCACCTATCTTTAGCTATACCTGACAACAACACGGGGGCATATTCACCTTGTTGCACCCTCTGCCTAGTCAAGTAAGCCAAAAATGTTAGCTATAACTGCATATTTGTTTTCATTGGCCTCTTCTTATCACCACTCTTTTACCTTTTGTTGCGAAGTCCTAGCATTGCGCAACCTAGTGCCACCCAACCCCGTGCTATCCAGGCTATCACAACAAACAACTCGATGGACCCAGAACAGCCGCTGCCAGAAGTTCAAAACAACCTAAACAACCTACGCGTAGGCTTTGGCACAGAAATGGGCGCAGCAGTGATGGGATTTCCAGGCAAGGTCGGTATCTACGTCCATCGGTGCTCTCCTGTTGAGCTCGACTTCCTGATACCTAGATCGCTTTGAGACGGTGCAGGGGTCACGTGATCCCGCCCAAGAAGACCCCGCTATGCGCCAACATGCGCAAGCTTGGAGCAGTCTGGTGGAGGAGTTAAGAATTTGGATGATCACGACTTTGCAGAGAGAAGGATATACGTTGGGTGGCCTGCTGCAGGAGGTGTCTGGGTTCTTAAGACAAGCCATCGCGATGTCCTTTATCGGGGTCTAGGTCGGATCGGAAACGCCCGCGACATGGAGGAGCGCTGTTGCCTAATCAAGCGGTTTGGTGGGATCTTTTATGAAAACCCTGCCGATTGTCCGCATCTTGATTTGGCTTAGCAGACAGAGGATGAAGGTGGAAGTAAGGCACTTTCCTTGGTCTCCAGGCAATTTGTGAAGGAGCACCTCCATCCCATCCCCCCCTTCACCTTGTTTTTTGTTTTGCCGGTATTGGCGCAGGTTTAGGGTTTCGCATGGAGGTTAATTCAAAAGGCATTGCTCTCGCCTTGTTGCTGTTTTCGTGTTGCTGCTGCCGTGTCGCCGTCCTGTGTCCCTACACCCCTTTAGTTTTCTCGCAGTTAATTATGCCAAAAGTGCTCAACGCAAGTCGAGCTACATTGGTCCCTAAGTGAGTTACTAGGCGGATATCTCCATGTACTTCCTCTTACCTATAATTGTTGATACTTCGAACGTCATCCTGGTGACAAATCACACCAAAACCCAAAATACGACAGGCGCCGAAATAAGCTCAGCTTGCAAGACGCTTTTCGGGTCAGGTCCTCCCGCACGGAATTTATTTGATTTATTTGATTTGCGTTAGACGGGGTTTAAGCAATACTCAGCAAAAACTCAATCTGGCGATAACTCAGCAACCGTAAATAAACTCTCAATGCCGATGTCATGGTATGCGCATGCTCAAACTCAACCCAACTCGACGATCTCCCGCGCGGAATATACCGAGAAGAGACAAAAAAACCTTGTTCTTACACCAATGCCAGGTCCAGGGGGGACACACTAGGTGCGAACAGCAGTTCATCTTCGGCGCTAGATAACGGGCGATCCGCAGGATTTCGATGATAGACAATGACTATGATCATATGGGGTTTCGGGCCGAAGGCTGTTGGCATAAAAGTAGAAAGTCTGCTCGACCTGCTCCCACATGTATCCATCACACACACACACGGAATTCAATCCTCGAGACTTACAGATCAACACACACTCCCTTCCCTATCCCAGCTCCCCATACACGCAGTCCCTACTTTAAACATGCATCTATCAAACTTGGCGTCTGTAGCCGCCCCCCTTCTCGGGTTTGCAGCAGCAGCGCCTCCTGTGCCGCGATCGTACGGCGTCCCGAACGACGGCTTTCCCAATCCCAACGCGCAGCAGCTCCTGGCAATAGAGACTCAGGCAGACGGAACCCTGTCCAATGCGCCTCCGCCGCCAACGCTGGCCAGCAGCAGTCTCACGGCCTTCCAACTCATTGCTTTCAACGAGAACTTCGAGGTCGCCTTTTTCTCGTCTCTGGTCAACAACATCACCACCGGTGTTGGCAACTTCAACCTTCCGACGCCTGAGAACCAGAATGAGCTCATCAGCATCCTCAAGACCGTGCTTGCTGTGCGTATTTTTTCTGTTTTTTTTCGCCCACTCATTTATACTGGTCCCGGGTCCGTAATTAGCAGCTAACGCTCGAACAGCAAGAAGAGCTCCACGCCATCAGCGCCTTACAGTTGCTGACCCACTTTGGCGCCTTCGCCCCTCCGCCTTGCACGTACAATTTCCCCACCACCGACGTGGTATCGGCGATCAGGCTGGCCGAGACCTTCACGGCGGTGGTCATGGGCACGTTGCAGGACGCGTCGCAGCTGCTGGCCAAGAACGGCGACGACGGGCCCGTGCGGACGGTCGCCAGCATCATCGGGCAGGAGGGCGAGCAGAATGGCTTCTACCGCACACTCCTGGGTTTCAAGCCCAGCGAGAAGCCCTTCCTGACCACGTCCATCGCCGCCTATGCCTTCTCGGTGCTGCAGACCTTCGTCGCCGAGTGCCCCTTCCCGATCAGCGACATCGCCATCCCCGTCTTTACCCCGCTCAGCGTCCTCAGCGGCAACGGCGGCACCGACGTCGCCCCGCAGGACCAGACCTTGACGTTCAGCGCCAACCTGGCGGGCGTCGAGGCCGCGGCAAAGTTCGTCGGCGGCGACGGCAGCGGCCTGTTTGTCACGTACCTGAGCGGGCAGCTGTTGCCCATCAGCGAGCCCGTCACCAACGTCAGGTGGGACGGCAGCAGTGTTACCTTCGACGCCCTGTTCCCCTTCACGGAAAACATCATGTACGCCTTGACTATCGCCTCGCTGACCACATCGGACACTGTCGTCGACCCCGACGACCTTCCCGGCGTGACACTGGCCGCGCCGGGGCTGATCCAGGTCAATGACAGGGTGTAAGGTCGGCTTGGGGTGATTTCTGGCGAATGGAAAGTTCAAGGGACCGGCGCGCTGTAATGGATTGGGTTCTATTACTTTGGGCCTTGAGAGGCTTTTCTCTAGTCAACCTAGACGCCGTAGTTAATATCTAGAGGGTTCAGTAGACGATATGTGTTTGTTGCTCCATGGTCTGCTTGAAGATGTCGAACCAGCCCGTGGTCAGCAAGACTGGCATCTCCACGACACGTGTTGCAGCTAGCTTAAAGCACCTCCGTGCCAGCCGTCGGATCGGAGAGAAGGGCCAGATGCGCATCCCCCTCTTGTAAGAATTTCCTAAAGTGGCGAACGAGCCGCGGTACCTGCCTCGATCATGTAGAGAGGCCGGAGCAATGGATATGAGGTCGGAACAAAGGATATGAGGTCCCGATGAACTATTTCGCTAGTGCTGTTTTCTGATGGTCTGGGCTCGGCAGGATCGGGTTGTCACGAGGTGGCTATTCCGCAGAGGGTCGTGAGGGTTTCCAAACTAATTCCCAAGGGCGGCTCGAATGTGATTGTAACATGGCTGAGACATCCGAGCGCTACCTGCCTAAGGCAGGATTTTGTTTTTAAGGGGGGGTGGGGGTTTAGGGGGCAGTGACGTCACTGTGTTTACAATTCGGAGGGTCCTAGCGCGTGTTGAGTTGACGCTCGCCTCCCACTCGACTCCCACTCGACTCCCTCCCACACGCGACGACAAAACTGAATCCGACACACTTTGCTTCCGCCTGTCCTTCCGCAAGCAGTAACTATGCCTCGAAAGCTTTCGGTCGATGACGCTCCCAAAGAAGACATGCAGTCTACCGATAACAACAGCGACCCAAATATCGATTCCCATAATCCTGGGGAGACGGCTAGCACCTGGCAAAGGCCCAAAACGAGGAAGACTAGTGAGGAACGTTCCATTAGTTTCGTCGGCGCCATTGTCCCAGCACGACTCAAGCACGATTCCGACGATTCCCACAAGCGTGACCAAGAGGTCCTGAGCAAGGGACCCAATGGATCCCCGGTATACGACAGGCTTGGGTACAAGATCAACTATAAGATACTGAAGGGGTCTAGCCGCCGCAGACGCCCTTCTCGGAACGCTGCTAGATATTTGGCCCTCGTGGAGGCTGAGATTGAGCAGATCAGGAGGTTACGGGAGATCATGGGGCGATCCAACGAGAGCGCGGCCATGCTCTCTGCATGGCAGGACAGGGTGGCGAGAGATTTGGACATTCCTTTCCATACCGTGGACATGCCAGAATATGAGGAGTGGCATAGGCGCGGGTTTCGCCTCGAGCCTGGGGAGCTAGCTGGAAACCCGTCCAAGGACGAAAGCGAGCGGTTGTTGACTCTTGCAGTCGGCTCCGCCTTCAGGGAGTGATTGAGGCAGACAAACCAGTTACGGTTAGTCCCGAGTCTAGTCAATTTGCGAAATGCAGCTCGCGCAGTTGTTGGGTCGAACCAGGCAGGCGGTTCTGGGGTGCGGGGATGGCCAAGGAAATTCCAACCGAAGCCCGGAAAGCACGGCAAGCTAGTGACATCCAATATTGTTAGGCTGAGCTGTAGTCGGGGAAACACTGAATCATTGATGATTCAGAAGAGGGGGCGCGCTGAATCATTAGATCTGGCACAGCGGCTTGCTGTCGCCACTAGACACTCGTGATCCTTGGGCGGAAACTAGTGAAACTGGGGAAACTGGGGAAACTGCGGAGAGTTCGGGGGAGAGATCTGGGGAGAGACTAATATGTACGCCACATATATGCGCTGACTTGGGGTAAGCTATATACTCTAGTGTGGAGGGTAAGTTTATGCTCCGATACCTAGCTTGTTTTTGGCACGGCGACTGCTGAGGAATTAGGACGCGTGGGCCAGCGCCGTAGTGTAGTCAAGTAGCGCATCTGGAAACCCTTTCCCTGGAGCGGGGGATGTCGAACCAAGATTTCGGGTCTAGAGCGCTCCACCCCGGAAAGACAGGACACATTCGCAACACGGATATATATTAAGGTCTAGCTGCACATGGTCTTGGCTGCCAATGCAACTTGCCCTGTGACTATCGCCCTTTCCCATTAGTTTTACGCCCTCGCCCCTTGGCTCCCTTGGCGGCAAAGCTTCTGACCCCGAGTACCTTGGCTCACTTGGCAGAAAAGCTTCTCTCGCCCAGCTTTCAACGGCTCGTAATGGCCGACAGCGACATCGCATCAACTCCCGCGGCGGCGGAAAACGAGAAGGCCTCGCGGGAGCATGTCGCCTATCCTGAAGACACCATGGCCGACCATGTCACGGCGGCCGCCATCGGCGGCGATATTGGAGACCTGCCCAAGGGCTACTATTGGAGTCCCAAGTTTGTCGGGTCTATGATTGGCATTATCCTCACGGCCCAGAGTTTGTATCTCGGCTACGTTCTGCCCACCAATGCCCTGGGCATCATCAACGAGGATCTCGGCCCCAGTCCCAACTACGTCCTCATCAGCACGATACAGACCGTCACCAGCGGGTTCCTCCTGGCGCTCGTGGGTCGCCTGGGCGATATCCTTGGCCGCCGGTATTTCCTCATCGGCGGCCAAGCCTTTTCTCTTGTGGCCAGTATCGTTGGAGTTGTGGCAAAGAACATCAACACCATGATTGGCGTCGGAACGCTCATGGGCTGTGCAGCCGGAGTCCAGCTGACTTTCACCTTTGTCGCGGCCGAGCTCGTGGCTAACAAGCATCGCGCCTATATCAATGCCGTCCTCTTCTGCTCCACCATTCCTCTCGCTGGCATTGGACCTGGTTTGGGTATGTTTGCCTGTTGTACACAAGTTCATGCAGTCCTGATCTAACCGTGCCCTCCAGCTCGTCTCATCGTCTCCAATACCAAGCTCGGGTGGCGGTGAGTAATTAACAGCCTCTCTCATAAACGCGCTCAACAAAGCTAACCGGATACTTTCCTCTCTTCATCAGATGGTTCTACTACCTCAATATCATCACCTCTGGCCTGTCGTTGATATTCCTCGGTGCCTTCTACTTTCCGCCTTCCTTCCGCCAACTCCACTCGCGCATGACCAGATGGGAACAAGTCAAGAGAATCGATTGGATCGGGTCAATCCTATTTGCGGCAGGGATACTTCTATTCATGCTCGGACTTTGTATGCCAAGCCCTCAACACTCCTAGACTGCTGCGGCGACATGGGGAAGCACGGCTGCTGACTATACCCGTTCTACTTGTTTATTAGCTTGGGGTGGCAGTACCTATCCATGGAAGGATGGTCACGTCATCGGGTTCATCGTGGTTGGGGCCGCGCTTCTTATCATCCTCGGCCTCTACGGTATGTATTTCTCCCCCCCTTGGTCAAGTTGCAAATATGCATTGGCGACGATTCGCTGACCATGTATCCGCTCCAGAGGCATACGCTCCGTGGCTCGTGGAGCCTCTCATTCCCGGACGGCTGGTTAGAAACAGGAACTACATCGCGTTGACGTGCTGCGGCTGCGTCGGAACGATGATCTACTTCTCTCTGAATATCCTATGGCCCCAGCAGATTGTCGACCTCGGATACGGCACATCTCAGGTTCAGATCGGATGGCTATCGGTGAGGCACCCTGCTGCGATCGAAGCTAGTAATTATATGAATACAAGCGTGAGCGGGTGCTGACCATCTGCCCCAACTTCTAGTGTACCACAGGCGCCGCAGTCGTGTTTGGCCAGACACTTGCGGGGGTCCTTTTCAAGAGACTGGGCCACGGGAGATGGCAGTTGGTCGCATGCACGATGGGCATGTGCGTGTTTATGGGCGGCCTAGCCGCGGCCAAGCCGACTAACAGGCCCCTGGCTCTTGCTGTATGTCCCCTTTCCCACGTGCCTCCCCCCCCAATATGTCTTTTGTTGGTAGCTGCTGAGATCGGATTATAGTTCACGACCCTCGGAGGGCTTTCAGTTGGATTCCTCGAGCTGGTCCACATCGTCATGGCCGGCCTCTGCTGTGAACCAGGAGATATTGGTCTGGCTTCTGGTCTGTTGGCATCTGCCCGTCAGGTTGCAGGGACCCTTGCTGGTAAGCAATTGATGACACCCCAGGGCCATCCCCATCTCCATCCCCCAAAACAACATCAAGCAAGTATCTCCGTTCGTCCAATGCTAACCAGGTTGTTCTTTTTAATTTCGCAGCGACCATCTATGTTGTCATCTTGTCCAACAGAGTTCCCGTGGAAATGGCTGCCGACGTTACTCCGGCCGCAGTCAACAATGGTCTCCCAGAGTCCAGCGTTCCTCTTCTCTTCGGCGCCATCTCCAACGGCACATCAGCAGCCATGGATGCCGTTCCCGGAATCAACTCGAAGATCGTGGAGGCCGTCACCAATGCCATTGCTCACGCATACACCAGCAGCTTCAAGACTGTCTACCTCGTCAGCATCGCGTTTGGTGGTCTTTCGGTCATCGCCGCGCTATGCACCCAGAACGTCGAACAGTTCATGACGGGCTCGGTGGCGAGGAAGCTTCAGGGCACTGCGGAGGACGTCGTGGACGAGGAAAAGATTGCGCAGTCCGGTATACACTACTAAGGACTACACCATTTCGCTCATTTGAAGCCTGCCTCCTCTATTTTCTGCAGCAGATGTATTATAATTATTTGGAAGTTGGAGCACGGGGGGATTAGCAGAGTCTAGGCCTCGATTGGAGGATGTCGCAATCGCGGTTGTAGCTATTATTTCGAACTAGTCATGCACCATCTCGGGGTCAGCCTGCATAGGAAGCTGGCTGATGTGTTGCACTGCATTTTGTGGCGCTACCATCGTCCACTCACGCACATTTGCCTCTTGACAATATTGCGCTCGCCACCCAAAAGTTCTTAGGTGGCGTCAATTAATGATGCTATCATCTTCAGCCGCACGACGCGTGGCCCATCTTTGAACAAACAGCAGACACTCCCACCCCGGCGGTCAAACTTCCCTTCTCGCAGAGGAAAGTCAGATGTTCAATTGACATGGATTTGTGATTAAACAAAAACCACAGGTGGCAATATGATGAGAAAGTTGTTCAAAGGTCGGAAATCTAAGGGAGGGGAGCATGAGAAGCATGACACTCGAGATGGGAAGCTTCATAAGGCCCCAGATCCCAGCGACAAGATATACGTCCAGGATTCTGATGCTCGGAACCTTCACCCTCGACCAGACGACTCGAAGTCCAAGGACACCGCTGAAAGCAATGATGTGGGGACCTTCTCTGGGTTCGATAGCTGGCTATCTAGCTTTGCCCCTGACCCGACAAAAACGGCTGTTGAGATGGACGGAGAATCTGCCAGCAGCGAAACTTTGACCATTGAAGGTATTCTCCGAAGCTAGCCTTCCTTATTGCACACATGGCTTACTCCTGCCACCAGGTTACCCACAAGCCGACTACCTTTCTCTCATTATCGACGGCGTGAGAAGACCGGGCCACGCACAGAAATATGTTGTTAGGCTCAATGGCCCGTGGTACATGACCCTGGCAGCTGTGAACACGGTTATGGAGAAACATGGTGAGCAGAATGCTCCCGATACTCCCACCTGCTGGGCTAATATCTGACAATATACCAGGGTACGAAGGGCTAGGGGCTGCAAAGAACACCCTACTCGCACGGCCCGACTGGAAGGGCACCAAAGCGTATGCGGAGAACTACGAAGTCCTAGTGACGGACGGGCCATCGTGCTACGACCCGGACCGTGGCCTGCTTATTAACAGAGACGAGACTCTGGATACATTCTCTGGCAACATGCGCCGCCTCAGAGTCGAGTGTACGGATGGGGGAATAGTTGCCAGCTCGTTTCCGGCCAAACTCAGAATCACCTTCCGTCGTACCCTGAGACTTCCAGACAATGGCAAGATACACAATTTACCTAGCGACCTAGGCTTGATCTCGGCCCACAACATTGAAGGAATCAAGAAGAGGCTCACAGCCTCTGGTTCCCAAAGCCTCGTCGAGATGGCCAAAAAGGGCGGCGTCTTCTTCCCACTGTATCAGAGGGAGGCCATGTTCATGTCATTCGAGGCTGAGCATGGCGGGTTTGCTCTGAGGGTCTTCGTTGGCGGCGTCAACGCAGTTTCGGGTCTACCCTGGAACGCCGGGCCGCACAGGAAGGCAGCACAGCAGGACTATCTGTCTGTCCCCCCACAGCAGTACTTGGACGGAATCTCCGCCGGCCGAGCCTCGGTCAAGCAGTTCGTTGCCATGCCACTTGGGTCAGGCTATTCTGTAGAGAAGCAGATAACCGGAAAGGAGGACGTGGGGGGACTGCAGCTGGAGGTCATCCCGGATGACGGTTGGTACCTCGCGCCTGCGCCAGAAGTGCCATACAGCCCTCACCTAGGAATCCAGACGCCCCGGACGCTTGGAATCGAAACCGTTTTGCTTCTCGGAAACCACATGATCCGGGAAGATACTGATCTTTCAGCCCCGGAGTATGCAGGCTTCACAAGCAGTTTGGAGCACTCAACCCATATGAGGCGCTACTTCTTTACCCAGCTTCAGCAAGGACTTTACAGTCCATACCCTGGCCTCCAGAGTCAAAGAGACACCTCAGATCCCGCGTCGTGGAAGCCGGGTGCATGCCTGCGGATGACCGCAGTCTATGTCTACAACCTTACTTTGACTTGGAGCAGCGGCGCCGGAACCATGAGCCGGGAGGTCAGGTGGTTGCCTTGGGCCACTGTATCGGATTGTGCAATCGTCATGGAAAGGCTCAACTTCAGGATCAACGGGAAGCTCCTGGACCAATTCGACCTGTATTGTCAGGGCCGCATACTGGGCTCGCTGCAGCTCCAGGAGATGGGCATCCAAGACAACAGCATCATCGTCGCAGTAGAGAAAGTCTCTGGACCGCCTCAGCCCCAATTTCAGGATCAGTACGGACCACCAAGACAGCAATACGCAGATGAGTATATGCCCAGCGAGCATGGACCATGGCAACCAACTCCGGGCCATGCCAACCCAATCATCCCCGGTTCTACGAGTTCTGGCAGTCCTACTCCGTCGTCAATACAACCAAATCAGCAAGGACATGGGTATGCGCCACCCCTTTACGAGACTTTCACTCCTAGCCCGCCAGGGGCCGCCGCTCCTCCAGGAACAGCAGTACGTCCACCTGGATCATCACTACCCCCCGGTGGCCCTCCTCGGACCTACGGGTCCCCCGGACCAGGCCCGGGAGCACCTAGGCCGCACTCTTCCACGACAATAGGCTCTCCGTTGCCCGGATACACATCGCCATCTCCAGGAATGGCGGGCGCGGGATCTCCGCCGTCCCTCGCCCCGCCGAAAACTGGTGCGCCGCCGGCCACGCACCGTGGATCGAGGTAAGTTCGCTATTCCCCGCCAGACCATTCCCACCCCCCCCCCCCCCCCCCCCCCCGGCAGGACCGAGCACTACCGCTGACACAACATAATCCCCCAGCGCCCCCCAAGCCGACCAGACAGGCTGGGCGATGGGCGTAGCAGCAGGCTCGCAGATCCGGCAGGTAGTGCGGAAAGACCCGTTCGCGCCGTCGGAGTGGGCGAAGCATCGAGCCGCGACGCTGAGCGTGCAGATCCTCAACTCGGTGGCCTTCGAGGGGCTCACGGGGATGCTCGCGCCGCCGACGCCCATCTCGGCCGAGACGTACGCCGCGCACGGTCTGCCGTTCCATGCCTCGTATGGCGAGGCGGAGGCGGCGTTCGAGACCGACGGCGCGACCAACTTTGCTGGGGTTAGGAGCGTGGCGCAGATAGACGCTTCCCATGGTCCTGTTGTCCTGGGTAGCAATATTACTGCCGGGAGTAAGGTTGGTTGTACGTGCTGCGGGAAGATGCTGTGTGATTCCATGTAAGTTGGTTGAGGATTGCCAGCCCCCCGTTCCGGAAAACTTGGTTTCTATGGGCTAACACTCCCGTGCCAGTCTTCGTCCCTGCAATCATGCCTTTTGCTCGCAATGTATTCGGAACTGGATGGCATGGGGGAACAAGACCATTTGTCGCGTTTGTGGCCAGACAGCCACTGGGCTTGTAGGATTTTCTGCGCCAATGGCTCTACCCGGCCAAGATGTGGTCGATTTCTCGGAAGCTGTGGTGGTAACGAACGAGCCGTATAAGGGGGAGTTGGGTTTCGCAAGCGTTTATGAGCTGGAGGCAAGGTCACAACCGCAACCGCAGCAGCAGCCGATTGTGTACGAGCTAGGTGCTTGACAACTTCTGCTAGATCTCTCTGACGAGTCACGATGAAGGACCTGAGGATCAAAACAGGCTATCTGGTTTAAACTTTAATTAATTGTTGACTTCCTATCTACATGCTTGAGCGGGGTTTACTAGCAGAGAACAGCTCTACCCAATCCTCTGTTTACTGCGGGTATCGCTTCAACAAGACAAACAGGGCGAGATACGACAAAATACCAGTAAAGCAGAGACCGCTGATGACGCCGAAGCCCATAAGGTATTTTGGCGCGTCCTCGGAGGGAAAGAGGTAAGCTCCGTAGATCTGGGCCAGGTTCCCCATGGCGTTGACAAAGGCGAGGCAGATAGCCTTTGTCTCGTTGGGCATCGAGCCGAATGTCGAAGAGGCGTAGGCCAGCGATAAGGCATTTGAGACCCAGAGGCCAGAGGCTATGATGACGAGGAGGGCGTAGCGGGCGCGGAATTGGTAGACGGTGCAGGTGATGATGGAGCCCACCATCGAAACGGCCATCCAACTGGTGATCATCACGCCGCGATACTTGGGCATGCGGTCGGCGAAATAGCTGCTGATCATGGTGCACACGAAAGCCGCGACGTAGATTGGGATGGTCATGTACTGGGCCATGTGTGAGGTGTATCCAAGCCCGTTGACGAGAGTCGGGTAGAAGTAGGAGAGGGTCGCTGAACCAACAATGGCCTATCATGACTTGTTAGAAAGAAGGCCCATCCAACTAAATTGTGGTGCAACTGTTACGAAATCCGAAATGAACAACTTACCATGTATCCGACGACGAAGAGCCACGTCCTCCAGTTCGACAGGCCGAGCTTGAGCGCCGCCCAATGACCCAGGCTCGCATCTTCCGCCTGAGAGTTGAACCTGGCATGGTCGTGTTCCAGCCTCCGGATTGCGAGCTCTCGTTCCCGGTCGTTGAGCGCTTTGGTCGTGGCCGGGAAGTCGGGGAGGAGGAAAATGGCGATGCCGGACCAGCCCGCGGTGGCGGCGCCCTCTACAATGAACAGCCATCTCCAGCCAGCAATTCCGTGGACGCCGTCCAGGCCAGCAGTGATGGAGCCGGCGATCAAGCCACCGAAAGCTCCCGACAGGATGGAGGCTGAGATGTAGACAGCGAATCGCTTGCCCTGCTCATCCTTCTTGTACCAGGACGACAGCAGGAGCAGGACACCCGGGGCGAAACCTGCCTCGAGCAGACCGACGAGGACGCGGAGACCCACGAGTGTTGCATAGTTGGGCACCCAGGCTGTGGCGAGGGTGACACAACCCCATAGGAACATGATGGTTGGAAGGAAGATGCTAGGGCGAGCGCGGGCGAGTACCATGCTGTTGGGGCGATAATTATTAGCGGTTGGATGCTTGCACGATAGAAGAAGTCATAGGATGAGCCAACGAGACGGGACAATTAATTAATAATTAGCCATCGCTGTTGCTTACTTCGAAGGGACTTCGAACACGACATAGCCGACGAAGAAGAGGGTGAGCACAAGCGAGTACCGGTCCGAGGAGAGGTCGAGGTCATCTGCCATTCCAGCGATCTTTGCGTTTCCAACACTGTTTTTTCCCCGCCGTGTTAGTTTACTCCACGAATAGATCCACTTGTAGCCATATCTTGCACAACTCACTTCGTTCTGTCCATGTACGACAGGAGGTACATAAGCCATATAGTCGGTAGCAACATTAGGTCGATCTTCCGGACAAGCTTGCGCTCCTCCTCGGTGTCGGGGATGTAGCCATCATCGGGGCCCTGGTTGACCTTGAGATCGGGCTTCTCAATCTGGAGACTCTCCATCTTGTCCGCCTGATCGGACATTGTAGAAGCTGGGCTGGGCTGTTCGCTCGCGTTGAGTAAACGACAGAGCAATGGCAGAAGGAAGAAGATATCGGGGGTTGAAAGATAGGTGAGGAAGGGGACCAAGATCGCCGCTGGTCCTGAAAACAGATTCTCGTTGTTGACATGCCACTGGAGAGCTTTTTATGCTCAGGCTTGTGTCTGTTCGCAATGTCAAAAACCAAGACCTCGGATTTGCGGGTTCCCTCGTGCCGGATGCAGGGTAATCAGGCCAGTGACGCGGATCTACGACGTGGCTGCATCGACAATGCTGGGGTAACGGATGAGTGGTTCTCACTCCCCCAGAGATGTGAGATGATTCTCCGCAAAAATGCGAGGGTGAAAGATTGCTCCATGTCTCCCGTCTGGGGTCCCCGAGTTCTCGGATGCGTTCTCATGCGGGATTGCTCCTCGGCTCATACTATGTGGGGCAAGAGCGGCTCATGGCAGAGCTAGGAGCTATGTCACGAATCAGGGGCCACACCATCACACTTCTTTTAGATCAGAATTTTTTAGGGTGACTACGTACTCGCGTGCCCTCGAGACGGGCCATGCCAAAGGCTCAATGCCTCTAAGCGACAGTTTCCCCTGTTTCCGAAGTTACTAGTGTCAATATACCATGCCACTAGTGCTAGGAACGCCGCTTGGAAATTCGGTTGACATGTGTCTACCACGCATTTCGACGATGCACAACGTGCTCCACACACCAGTACCAGTGCCCTTGATCTCGAAGGGGATGGAGGAGATGCGCGGGGTGGGGGAGAAGTGTGCAATAAAACCCCGGGCTTGCAATGCCACTTGTCACATCGTATACTATCTCAATCCCTATTATTCCCTTTTTCTCTCAGTTAACTGCCTCACACTTGAATTGGGGGGGGGGGGGGGGGGGGGGGCCCCCCCCGCCCCCCCCCCCCCCCCCCCCCCCCCCCCCCCCCCCCCCCCCCCGGGCGTTAGATGCTGTGCACTTACCGCGTTTAGTTCTGCATCCCAAGCCTCTTCGGTCTCCAAATGCCTCGAGTGTATTT